GTCGACGAGGCCCAGTTCTGGCAGGTTCACTACGGCCTGTGCATGGCCACGCTCAAGCTGTGCGAGAACCGCGGCTGCGACGACGCCGCCCTGAGCATGCTGCGCCAGCGCGTCGCCCGCATCGTGCAGAATCGGCTGGGCGAGGGGTACGGCAAGGGAGGGGCGCTGCGGTGGGAGGTTACGCTGCAGACCAGTACGGATGCAACGTGAATGACACAAGGGATGTACAAATTTTGATTTCCTTGGCCTTTCTTCTCACGTTTTTTGTTCTCTGGTAGCAAGCGGTAGATGTGTACGAGACTCATTATGAATGACAATCTGCCCTCTTGATGGGCCAAATAGACTTTCACGTAGAAAGCCGGTCCAGCTATTAAGGACCATTTGCGAGTGAAGTCTGGGAAGGGCAAAGAGGTTTGTCCCGTGGCTGGCATGACATGGCGAAGACGTCAACAGACTTCTTATATTCCACAGATTCGTAAGCCTAGATGACCACGCGATACATGTACGACCTTGAGGTTGAGTGTCTTTCTACTTGCTCGCAGCTTCAAATGTATACATGTGACGTAAGTAAAAGTAAGCTGGGTGGGAGGAGGAGCCCAAACAATTCAAATTTCAATGAACGACGACCACCGGCCACAGAAACTCCTGCCCGCAAAAGCCCCCCACTGATGTGAGATGTATATATCATAAGTCATGGCGCCCAACGACCCAACACCAGGCATATATGTTCTTGCCCCGGAGAAACCAGGCAGGCCTTGCTCGAGGTCAAGTCCCGATCGATCAACCAGTCATGCAGTCATTTGATCAAATCAGAACAGCCCCCACCGCCCGCCCTTCTCCTTCCTCGCCTCCCGGTTCTTGTGTGCCCCGCCGCCGCCGCGGGGGCCCTCGAGCTGCCTGAGGCTCTCCATCTTGTCGAGGACGAGCTCCAGCAGCTCCTTGCGGCGGATGACCTCGAGGTGGCGCTTGACCTTGGGGTCCTCCTTGGCGAAGCGCTCGACCTGGTCGTCCGAGAGGTGGCGGCCCAGGCGCGCGTCGAGCTCGCGCGGGAAGTTGTAGTAGAACTCGGACAGCAGCTCCACGTTGAGGAACAGCACCGCCGTCTGCGCCAGCTTGGTCGCCGCCGCGTCCAGGAACACCTCCGGACAGTAGTACTTGTTCTTGTGGTCCTTGCACTGCCGCGACTTGACCGCCAGCAGGCGCATGTTGATGATGTCTGCGCGGTCGCGCAGGAAGACTGCCTCGCGGCCTGTGTGTGGTGTGTTAGCTTGCATCGCTCCGCAGGGAAAGGGGTCACCCCAGGTAGGTGTCCAGTCGACTTACCCTTCTCCAGCAATGCGGCGCTGAACCCGCCCGCGCCAATCCTTCCGTCGCCCTCGACAATAATATCTCCCTTCCGACACTTGTCTACGAAGCCCATGACCTCCTTCATCTTCCGCCGCCCACCAACCGCCTTCTCCAGGTTCGTCAGGGCGTTCTGGCATGCATCCAGCTCGCCCTTGAGCACACCACCGACGTGCTCCCGGCCGGTGGTCCATTCCCTGTCCTCGACATCGATCTCGAACTTGTACGGCTTAATACAGTTCTCCACCTGGTCACTCGTGCTGTAGAATCTCTCGTTCAGGATGCTCGACGCGGCGTTGGTGATCGCCTCACGCGCAAATGGGTGGTTCGCGAAGGTCGACTGCGCGATCAGCTGCTCGATGTGCTCCTGGATCGTCGCGGCCACTGCACTGGTAGCCAGACGACCCACGCCAAGCTTCGTTAGCGAGGCTGTGGAGGCGTCGAGCTGGCGGTGCCAGTAAGGGTTGTTGGGGTCGGCTTTGGGTAGGTCGGCGAGGGTGTCGACCTCCGGGGGTGGTTGCGATAGGTCGGTAATGGGCTTGTTCCAGTAGCGGAGCGCGAGCAGGTCAAGAACACGCTGGTCGAGCTCCTTCTTCAGGATCTCTTTCATCTGTGGGCGGCCGAATTCCTCGGTGAACTGCTTGAAAGAGTGCTTGAAGGCATCGAGGCTTTCAGCCAGGTACGATTCCGCCGACAGCGGCCGGTCATTGTACTGGACCTTGAATTCGTAGGTGGCCTCCTCGAGTTCCTGTTTTATCGCGTCATGCGTGCTTTGCAGGCTAGCAGACATTGTTTGCTCAAGCACGTGCATCAACTTCTTCCGCAGCGTCAGGGTGCCCAGGCTGAGGCCATTGTCGGGGCCGAATTCCAAGGGGTGTGACGAGAAGAAGGCACTCTCGTTTTTGGCGATCGTAGTAGTGAGGTTGCTGCCAAACCCCTTGTTGAACAGCGTCTTCACGCCGGGTGCTCGGGAGACAACGCCAACGTATCCGAGCCTGAGGGGATACTGCTTATCCGATAGTATGGCCGCACCCCGTATGGGATCTACCAGATCCATCTTGGTGACAACGCCGATCGTTCTCTCGCCTCTTGGGTCTACCCTCCTGCTTGCCCTCAGCGCTGTGGAGTTGGCCAGGTCGACATCTGCTGCAGAAATTGCGAGAATGACGTTGGGCGCTTGGATGTATTTGTCGCATAGCTCTGCGATCTTTGACTTGAGTTCCAGTGGTTGGTTTTGGCCGACGACCTGGATGTAGCCCGGTAGGTCGATCAAGGACAGGTCTGGCACGCTGGGAGAGTAGATGCTCAGCCTGATGGGATCGTCGGAGACACATTCGCTGTCCGGGACAGCCAGGTTGAGGTCGGTCAGAGTCCTTTGCACGGAGGAGAAGTCGGACGTCTTCAGGCCTAGGTCTGGGAACTCGCCGTACTCGGATTTCGAATCCGGGGTGTTGACGAGGGTGAGCTCGATCGGCCGCCTTGTGACCATGTTTGAGCCCTTGGGTAGGAACTCATGCCCCACGATAGCCTCTAGAACCGAACTCTTCCCTGAGGATTGTGACCCGATGACGACAATAGACGGCAGTGTAAGGGCGCTGGACTGGCCGACATTGGAGAGAATATTCCGGATCTCGATCATCTTCTTGGTGAGGACCATCATCTGGTCGTCGTTGGCCATGTCCTCCCCGTCTCTCTCGTCGTCCACGATCTGGGTCCATGCGCCTGCTGCCGCCGCACCGGTCACGACCTTGCCAGACCTGCTGTTTTTCGGCGGCTCCTCTCCCGGGTCTGGTCCCCCTTTGCCCGTGCCAATATCCTCTTGTAACCGGAGCACCTTCTGCATCCACTCCGGGAGCTCGACCTGTTCTTTCGTGTTGTCCCACCCTTTCCCTATCTGGCTGGCGATGTCCTTTGCTCCGCCAAAGATATCCGACGCGGTATCGACGGCTGTCGCCTTCATATTCTTGTACATTTCGGATGCCGAGTTGCTGACCTCTGCAGCCAGGTTAGCAGCCAGTCCCTCAAGTCTCCGTTTCGATAACCGATCTTACGTATTGCCTGGTATTGTATCCATGCGACTCCCCCTATCATCAACCCGCCAAACATGGCCGGTATCCTGGCGAACTTGACCAGCAGCCTGGGCAGGAACCTCGCGAAGGAGGCGTTCCGCACGATGACGGCATTGTGGAAGGCACTGCTGGGGGGCCAGACACGGTGCCTGGTCGCGTGAATGGCTGCATCGGCGCGTTGAAGGCCGCCCGTGGGGAGTCGGAAGCGGTGGTAGTGTCGGACGGCGGCTTCTGGGAGGGTGGCCGCGGCGCGGCGCGTGGTCAGGGGCAGTATCCCCGCTGCCAGGAGCCGTCCACTCATGGTGGTGGCGGTTGAAGTGAACGCAGTGAGGTTGGAGATGGCATAAAAAGCTGGAGTCGTCGAAAGTTTGGGGTGGCTTGTCAGCTTGGTTCGTCTGGAGGAAGAGGGAAAGCAGATGTGTCTGGCGAGTTGTAAATCCGTTGCATGATCGAGTGCAGCAAATGCGGTCACAGGTGGCGTGTGGAGCTACCCGGCATAATACACAACAGCAGCTAGGCGGGTGGTCGAATGCCTCTTGTTGACCAACCCCCCACCGTTGTTCCATCACACCCGTTTTGGGCGGGGCATTCTCTCTCCCATGCACACAGCAGATATTACCGCTTGTCACTTATTTGACCGCCTATGCACACAGTCTATCTGACAAGAGGTGGTGACTTCCGTTGACTTATGAAATTATGCGTTCTGTATCTCGGCGTTGCAGTGGATTTTCACAGTTGCACGTAATGGCAATAATATTGATTAGACTAGCTGCTATCCCAAATTACCAACAACCCGCGCACGTCAATGAAAGCAGCCTTGCATTCCATGTAACCTTTTTAGCCAAGTACTACGAAATTTCACACACAACGTGCTGCACATCCAAATCCAAGGCCTGTCAATTTCGTCCACATGAGCATGTCTTGGTCGCTGTCGCTGTCGCTTGCTATCGTCATCTTCGCCATCATGTTCGTAGCGTTGGGATTCCTGCTCTCACCAAGTAGCTCTCGTCATGGCTCTAGCATGTATGACTGATCTGCCAGCTACAGCCAGCGCACTTTTCTCACAGCTAAGGCACTTTCCAACACCCTCCAGCCCTATGTAATACTCTTCGAGGTCCTACCCAGAGAACCAGATGATCCGGCGGTCAGCGGTCTCCTGGCTCTCGCGGTTCCACCAACCGGTCAACTAGGCTAAAGGCAAGGGACTAAACAGCAGTCCCCCACATATCATGGAAGTAGCCGTTGAGGCTACTGTGGTATGACCCACGTGGCGGCTGTGGCAGAATTCGTGGGTGACAATTCAAGCAAGCGAAGCACCTTGTCGCCAACAGGCTAAGTCAAGCTTTCATGGACGGCAGTCTTGATGACGACGAGGCCAATCAAGTGTGAGTGAGTATGAGACTGAGGCCTGCGTGTAAGTGCCAACCACCGCATGGTCACTCAATCTGGCGGTACTCGGGCTATAATTTATACTCTAAATAGAAAGTGTAAAAAATTGAGAATTAGGTACTGTGGGGGTAGGAGGTTGAAAATAGAACGTTGAGGTATCTTACAAGAGGAACATAAAAGGGGGGAAAAACCAAAAAAAGAAGCTGCCGTGGTTCGAACACGGGACCCCAAGATACCTCAACAGTTGCAATCTTATGCTCTTCCACTGAGCTACAGCTTCAATTGTTCTAAAATCCTCAGGTGATAATATATACTCATGATTCACACACATTTCCCGGAAGACCATCCCAGGTGTCTTATTGCCATCGCCTCGAGATCCACACGAGCCGCCGCGGGACATACAGTCAAGTTTGCGCAACATGCGAATCTACGACGCGGCGTCGGCAGAGCTGAGTAAGGTGATCAACAACCGATCACGGCTGTTACCTGGATCGCGGATTCTCTTTGCGCTGAGGAAACAAAACGAGAGCAAGAAGATGACGTACGTCTTCCTCACACGTGTTCTAGGCGCATCTCTGTCTGGGGTCTGCACGGTCGACGAGGCTAGAAAGCAGCTCAAGGAGAGAACACTGGCCGACCATACTATTGTGACTCTGTTGACGAGAAGGTGACTGTCAGAGCGGCCCTACTACACCAACTGCTCGAAGCAGTTCGAGTACGTCTACGGGAGGAGTCCTGGCCCGATGGAGACGACCTTCCTCGCGGTGATGTACAAGCTCCCGGGATCTAGATCGTATATGCAGGTCGACGCCGTGATCTCGCACTACGACTTCACCGGGTGCAGAACGGGGTACACTGAGCTATCGCTCCAATTTGTTTCTTTAGAACTCAATTGAACATATATAAGCTCAATATTTATTTAGAATATGTAGCAGTCTTATATTTTAGTATTTCGAAGAAAGTGATGTGAAAAGATTTTCACAGAATTTATTATGAATCTTAATTTAATTTGGACTAGATTCAGCTATTAGAAACCAGTTCCACCGTCTGTCAAACAGTCCTAATGTTGCAAAGTCACGGAACATGATGTGAGTTGAAGCACCGAGAGACGGGAAGGCAGAGGGTGCGAGAGGGAGAGGGTAGGTGGGTGGACTCGGCCCTAACGACACCAAAGCTGTGAAGGTACGGCTCTTATATATTGCTAGGAATGCCCAATCTGCGATTGGAAATTCTGGTCTCTTGGCCGGGGCACTTGCTTTGCTAGCAGTAGGCAAGCCGGCTCAGTAGGAGCTTTGGAAGCGGCAGCCCCAGCTACAGGCGGTGCAGTCAGGCCGCGATGCCTGGTCTCGCCAGCCTCTGGACTACACAAACAAGGATATTCTCAAATCAGTATAGAAGTTTGGGTCGGATTAGGAATATATTCCAGTTACGCAGACGCTGAGCGCTGTGCTTACATTTCTACATGTAATAAATGGACGTTTACAACAGAATGATGTCTGAAAAGATGTCCTCGCACGGATTTTGCCATCTATGCATATGTAATTGGGACAAGTGTCTGAATATAATTACACTATCTGTACCTACAGGCTTTGCTCAGGTATCTGCTACATGGCCGCGGTATCTACTGTGCTCAATAACAAACCTCCTATAGGATGGTCTCCTATAGATAGCCTCCTATGTCACAGCCTCCTACATCACAGCCTCCTATGTCACAGCCTCCCAAGGGACACCCTCCTATGGGATAACCTCCTATAGGACAACTTTCAATAGAATAGCCTCCTTTGAAAAGACCTCTAATGGGAAGTTCTTCTACGCAATAACTTCCTATAGCGTAACCAGCTGGGGGCAAGCAATCTACACAGGCTCTATAGTGACGTTTTCGAATTTTTTGGTTGGAGCTGTGTCACTATCATAATATATGTGACATCAAGATCACTCAAAACAGTACACAATATGGACGTTCACATCACACTCTAGACGATGTTAGACTTATGACACCTAAGACAAAACAGGTTTTTGACAAAATTTGTCCACTGCCAAACCGAGATCAGACTGTACGACTTTGTGCCCAAGAGATACCACAGAAGCATTTGCTGTGAGATACACTTCTTACGAGCTTCGCTCGAGTGTCCGCTGCGCGGCCACCGCATCTAGTGACCTGCAATTGGGTATCGGCAGGATAGCCATCGTCGTCGTCAGTGTCGGACCTGGTAGGAGTGGATGGTGGAAGAGTAGGTTTGCCCACGCGATCGCAGGGCCTTGGCGCCCGAGTTGGAAGTGTAGCCACTCATTATGGAAAACGGAATGGGGGGTGGTGGGTTGTCTGAGTCGGATGATGATGAGTTGCTCGACAGAGGACTGGAATCGCTGTTACTGGCGCTCTTCTGTTCAACGTATTCCGCGCATAGACCTAGTACAGTCTTTAGTCCCGACTAAGTATACCAGCACAGAAGCCTCCGGTGAGGCTATACTAGAACATCCTTGTAGAAAGGGAATACGAGGAAGAATTTGAGCAACAAGATAAAAGGTCGCTACATTCAGGTAATCTCGCTACGTTGTGCATGATTGCAAGCCTGATGGGTGATCAAGTTATTTGATATCGCTCTAATCATGTGCACATGGCCTGTTACTCTTAAGTACGAACCATGACTTACGTCCTCATGGCTACCATAATTAAGCAGCAAAGCAGGGCGATAGAGGTCGCCCAGGCGCCGCGATGGTGATTGTTTTGCGTCGTCGTCAAAGAAAATGGTGCCAAGTTTGGCGTCGTGAGGTAAAGAAGTGGTTAAGCGAATGTCGGCCGGCGTCAATTTGCAAAGCAAGTAAAGGTTCCCAAGATAACATAAGTTTTTGATTATTACCACCTAGTTTAATACTATTAGGATTTTCAGCTTGTATTGAAGGTGGTGCTGGTACAGGGTGAACAATCTATCCTCCTCTTTCAGGAGTTCAAAGTCACAGTGGTCCTAGTGTAGATTTAGCTATATTTGCTTTACACTTATCTGGTGTTAGTTCATTATTAGGTGCTATCAATTTCATTTACAACAATATTTCCCCAGCTTCAGTGATCCGCTTGCCACATGTGCTTGACCGGCAGAACAGCAACAGAGTGATATGAGATCTGTTGGCCCACAAAGCAACACGTTTTAGACTCCGCGTACGTTGTTCTGCAAGTGTTAACAGTTTCATAGCCAGAGAATAGAAGACAATCGAGAGATCCTCCGCCCAAGGACGTACTAGCACTTTTCTTCAGGGTCAATCTCAGGTCTTAGGGTCGATGGAAGCACAAGCACATCAACGACTGGAACAAGCATTGAGGGGAATGGCTCCGTGACGAAAGGAGGGCGTGGGAAAAAAAGAATTTGTTGTTCATGGACATGAGACAAAACCCATACTTGATATTTTCAACGGTCCAAGGAGATCGGAGAGATTTAGGCGATCTGACATTCGTTTCCATCTCCTGGCTGGCCGCAAACATCTCAGGTGCCTCAAAAACTGCCCTCTAAATTTTGACCTCTCCTCCGTGACTCCCTTGTTGCGGTGTCCCCATGCTGGTGTATTCTTGTCATCCTTTTTGTTACCTGACGTTCGATGTGGTTGACAAGACCAATACCATTCTCGCCCAATAGGACCTCTCCCAGTGGCGATGTGTTGCGATGTGATCTTGCAGGTGTCACTCAAGCATAAAGATATAACCTCAAGCCCGTGATACAGTATTACAAGGCGATCTCATGTGACCAGGCCAGAGGGACACAAACCACATTGAGCAAACTGAGCCCGCTCGTCACAGAACCTCATCGTTGGTCCTGGCGGCCCGCGACTCAAGCCGAGGCAGTGCATTCACCCGGCACACCGCCGTCAAGCTGTGGGCTGAGGGAGCGTTCCACCTGTCACAATATATACGCTATGTGCCTACGGCAAACAGCGGCGTCGCTTTTGCACGAGTAGTGCAGTGGCTATTTCGTGACACCACCCAACAGGCCGGATACCCTGAGCCGGCGTATCACCAGCTGGCCCGGCAGATCCGAGCACGGCCATCACGAGAAGAAGCTGAACTCACGGCTGGGGCGAAAGACGAACAAGATGCCATATCTCGCTGGCCCACTGGCGAGTGCGAGGTACTCCCGCGGACGCGCGACTCATGGCACAACATGGGGGACAGAGAGCCAAGCTTTCCTGCCAGTCGACCCAGGAAGGCGGGCGAAGGAATGGGCGGCGATCACACTGGCGACGCCGAGTCCGGAACGGGGGCTGGCCTGGGCAGGAGGAACCAGCCCCGTGTGGGCGCCTTGCGCCCCGTGCTGTCGGGTCCAATGGGCACACTACTGCTGCATGAGGGCAGATGCGGTCAATATCGCCTGTGATCCTACGGTGCTAGCCGAATAGACCGCACAAAAGGGGGTAGGAGATGGGTAGTGGTAGTAGTACAGGTTGGTCATGGTTGTGGTTCGTTATGATACTGTGGACAACATGGTGGGCGCTGTCATGTGTTGCGCAGGCTACGCAAGCTACGAGAATGCTCATCTCGGTGCAATATGAGGGCTCCTGGGCATGTGCGGTAAATGGGCGCATGTGTACCCACTTTGTTCATCCCGAGGGTCATGTTGCGCCGCCCGCCCCAGACGGCTGCTGTCACTTGTTGCATGATTTAGTCGGACTTGTGCCGGAGGGCTAGCTGGCGCTAGCTGGCCATTATTAGTCCTTGAGGCATAGCATGACATATTGAAGGGGGATGGGAATTTGGGGGAGAGAGAGCGAGAGAAAAGAAAGATAGGCCTCCGTAAGGGAAAATAAAAAAAGTGGTGACGTCGAGTCAGGGGCAGAAGTGAGGGCTGAGTAGCGACATTGGCCGCCCCCGACTGCCATCTTTAACCGGCTAGCCCCATGCTGGGAATGAGAATAGCATCAAATGAGGGCCGGAAATAGGTCGTGTTCGTCGTGGGCGGCAAAATGGTCAATCAGCCGGCGTTCCATGTTGCCAAGAGGAGGGAACTCTGGTTGGCGGGCGAGAAAGTGGCCTCGGGAAGTCCCTCTCCCCTAATGAATGCAGTCTGACGATAAAAGATGATGAATGCTAAGTACGGAGTACGGCGTAACGTGGAGCGTGCGGGCGAGCACACAGGATGCTGAAGATCGGTCGTGAGCCGAGCAGGCCTTGTGCCCTTGTGCCCCCGTGGCCCCGTCCTATAAACCCTCACCTCGACTAACAGGGGACACCCCACAGCCATCCCGACCTCTGGGCAAGGGTGCAAAAAGGGGAGCGGTGGTGGTGATTGGCCG